GATAGATAGATAGATAGATAGATAGATAGATAGATAGATAGATAGATAGATAGATAGATAGATAGATCTAGGGCCAAGGATACTGTGGAGATCCTTTGGATTGTGGAAGGTTTCGGATCACTCATATTCAGGGGCATCCCTACACGCTTTGCCGCCTGAGGCAAGAAGGAGTGCTGGCGGGGCACATTAGGGGGAATGCATTACGGGGGGTAGCGGTGTGGTTGCATTTGACAGGGGGGGAGAGATGGGTGGTGACGGCTCACATTCCCGGGGGGGGATGGTACCTCGATCTGTAGTTTCACCCAGCTCACTGACATCACTGGTTGATGGAGGCTGGCTGGGACACCTCCCCAGAGCTCTTAGCAACCTAGAACACTCTGGCCCCAAAGGGGGCACCAGGCACACCTGCCCCCCACCCCATGACCCAATAAGATTCACATAGCTTAATTACTGTTGGATGAGATGTACCAGTAGAAGACCCACGTGGGTCCAACACTTTCTTTTGACAATTTAAAATATCTTTACAGAGTGCTATGTCCACCTTTGCCCTTCATTTCTCGATGCTTGGGTCCGGCTCATCCCCTGAACATTATTTGTTCTATTAGCTGAGGCAGTTTACAAGGAATTACCTCCACGTCCTTCATGAGAAGAACCTCCACTCCGTACTTTGCGCCCCTCTCCTTCAGGTCATCTCCAAACGCCTCCATGAGGATGATGGTTTTCAGCACCGGGGTCAGTCCCTTCTCACAGTTGTCCAGGAGGATCTGGACCTTGTCCGGCTTGTCGCAGACCACCACCGAGAGCTCACCTGTATCGAGGCAGAAACCCAGGAGGAGGTCACTGGGGGGGGGAACTCAGCGCAATGTTCAGTCATGGAGAAACCAATAACCTGGACTGAAAACCAGACCAAGCCAAGACTGTTGTTTTAGTTTGGATCACTCGCACATAATGGAGCAGGAAGAGGGAGGTTTAGAGATATGGTAAGCAGGGCTGGATTTACCACAAGGCCAACCAAGCCCCGCCCTCGGGGCAGCAGGGAGTAGAGGGGAAGCAGGGGTGTGGAATTACTATCTCCCGATGCCCGGGACATGCAGTTCCAGGTGCCGGGCGGGTAGTTGTTTTCTACATATAGCCCGGCTTTGGGCAAGCAGAGCTAAATGTACAGCAGGAAGTGAGGGGATTGGTTACATAGTTACATAGTAACAGGCTGTATCTGGGCTATAAACCAGCAGCGGGTCATGACATCACATGACATCATGAGTTTCCTCATGTCATGTGATGCCGCTCACTCACCTCTGTTAACAATGAACACAAGGGCTTCCGGTCCTAGCGTGTCATATAGAGGCACCACCACCATAGAGTAGGAATAACAGGCCAGCTCAGCAATCACCACCTGAAGAGGGGATACAGGAAATTGGTTAGAGCTAAGGGTTTATCTGCTTATATTTTGCCTTCCCTGGTGCCCCCCACCCCATCAACATGCTAATGCCATTATTTGTAGTAGTAGCAAGCAGTAGTTTGTGTCTCTGCCCCTCCCACAATGGTGAGATTTCCACCTCCAGTAGTTTGTGTCTCTGCCCCTCCCACAATGGTGAGATTTCCCCCAGTAGTTTGTGTCTCTGCCCCTCCCACAATGGTGAGATTTCCTCCAGTAGTTTGTGTCTCTGCCCCTCCCACAATGGTGAGATTTCCTCCAGTAGTTTGTGTCTCTGCCCCTCCCACAATAGTGAGATTTCCCCCAGTAGTTTGTGTCTCTGCCCCTCCCACAATAGTGAGATTTCCCCCAGTAGTTTGTGTCTCTGTCCCTCCCACAATGGTGAGAGTCCCTGCAGTAGTTTGTGTCTCTGCCCCTCCCACAATGGTGAGAGTCCCTGCAGTAGTTTGTGTCTCTGCCCCTCCCACAATAGTGAGATTTCCCCCAGTAGTTTGTGTCTCTGCCCCTCCCACAATTGTGAGATTTCCCCCAGTAGTTTGTGTCTCTGCCCCTCCCACAATGTAAACCTCTGTGTGTGTTGGTTTGCTTACCTCTGGTCGGTTCTGAGAAAACACCCCAATAAATTGTTCCGGGGAGGCTTTACATCCCTTCTGCAATAGGCCTGAGCCAAAAACCTCCGCTCTGTCAGCTACCTGCAAAACATGGAACAAGATGGATCTTCAGAATGACGGCTATATGTGGAAAGACGGCCCCCTCAGGGTGCAGGGTATGGCAGTGAGCACTTACCTGTTTGTAGGTGATCCATGTATAGGGTTGGTTCGGCCTCCGGGATCCCAAGCAGTCTCCATCCCCTGTGGTCATAATGCACGTTTAAATATTTAGGTAGGTTTATGATATTGGACCATGTGATTTGTGCTGAAGGGGGATCGACCAATCTGAACTTCGATCTGTCCCTATTAAAGAGGTCAGGTGACCTCTTTAATAGGGAGTATGGGATCCAAGAGCAGCAGTTTCTCTAGGCCAAGGTATGTTATGCCCTCTGTGGAAGGGAGCGGGGCAAGCATGGGAACTGAGGGCATTATTTTATACTCAGTGCAGAGATCTCACCGACAGGATGCTCACCAACATTATGGTCCCGAATCCCAGGACACCACCCATGGTCTACATTTTGCCTGCCCACTTTCTGAGTAGGCATGTCCAACCTCCACCTACTTTATGGGTTGGTGCCACCACAACCTCACATTTAAATATGTGGGGACAGCCAATCACACTTTCCATATAGGTTGGCTCCAACAAGATCCAACCTCTAAATATGTGGGGACAACCCATTATGCCCTCTTTATGGGTTGGCTCCAAAAACACCCCACCTCTTAATAGGTGGGGACTGACCATCATGCCCTTTTTATGGGTTGGCTCCAACAAGACCCCACCTCTAAATATGTGGGGACAGCCAATCACACCTTCTTTATGGGTTGGCTCCAACAAGACCCCACCTCTAAATTTGCATGGATAGCCCATCATGCCCTCTCTATGTGTTGGCTTCACCAAGACCCCATCTCTAAACATGTAGGGACAGTTCACTATGCCCTATTTATGGGTTAGCTCTACTAAAACGCCACATTAAAATATGAGGGGACAGCCCATCACACCCTCTTTATGGGTTGGCTTCAACAAGACCCCACCTTTAAATATGTGGGGGCAGCCCATCACGGCCTATTTATGGGTTGGCTCCAACAAAACCCCACCTCTAAATTTGCATGGACAGCCCATCAGGCCATCTTTTTTGGGCTGGATTCACACAAGACCCCACCTCTAAATATGCGCTCTCACCCCTGATCTCCTCACTGAATGCATTTTAAAGTTAGCGTGCATATGCAGTAACTTGAATAAGGTTGATGCTGTGATTCCCGGGGCATGGCTCAGGACACAGCACTGGCAGCTCAAAGGGCCTCAAGGTCCACATGTCTTCATGTGTTAGGCTTAGACTACCTGCCACCATACAGTTGGGGTGCCTATGAATAACAAAGGTGAACACAAGGGTAAAAAGCCAACTTCAATTTGTGCTGGCACTCTTATCTATGGGTTCAAGTGTTCAAGTTCAAGGGCTCCTGTAGTTTTCTGCAGACAGCCTGTAGTGGGCGGAGTCTGCTGGGTCCCTCCCATGACATTCAGCAACAGAAAACACAATGCTTCCCCTTCTCACCTGACACCCGCAGTCCTCTCATGAACACTTCATACAGCGTTTTAGCATCTTCATAGTAATGCGTCATAAGGGTGTCATCCTTTAATAGTGCACATCTCCGAGCTCCGCCCTGCAAAGGTCAAACGTTTCAGGTCAAATTCACTTTAATTTCCTTTTTATGGCTCAAAAGTCTATCTATCTATCTGGCCTGCGCCATCATCCCCTCAGGGCCTACCTCTGTTCCGATGGACTGCCGGTTGAGGTCTATAGGTGGCTGGACTGGTTTGGGTTTGGTGAGCACATAGATAAACGCCGATATCCCAATGGTGATGAGCACGACGATGAGTGATGTGGGGAGAGGCGTGAACAGGAAACCGAGGCAGCAGCACATTTCCACAAGTGACCGATCTGTCCAACACAAGATAACAAAGCAGGTTCACTCCAACGCATTGTAACAAAGTATCAATCATGTTACAGACTTTATCAGTGCAAGGGAGAGGATGATGTATAAATCATTCCCGCCACTAGGTGGAGCCAAGGAGCATAGGAAAGGCCATGTGAATGGCATTCACCCTGTGTAAGGCTGAGCGAAAGATTTATAAATCAACTCACTAAAGTAGATGGAAACCCCAACAGTGACAGTGACATTTAGTTTGTTCTGCACTTTGTGTATCACAAACAATTGCTGTTTTCCTTCTTCAAAATGACTTGCCTTCACCTTATTTCTTTCATTTCCCCATCTCAGTGCTGCTGATCTCCTTTATCTTTCATCCACTTCATGTCAACCCCCTCCCTCCATCCTCTCCTCTCTCTTTCCGGCTGTCTCTCCTCACTCTCCTGGCTGTCTCTCCTCACTCTCCTGGCTGTCTCTCCTGGCTGTCTCTCCTGGCTGTCTCTCCTCTCTCTCCTGGCTGTCTCTCCTCACTCTCTCTCGGTTGTCTCTCCTCTCTTTCTACCCTGGCTGTCTCTTCTCACTCTCCTGGCTGTCTCTCCTCTCGCTGTCTCTGCTGGCTGTCTC